CTATGTACAAAAAGTGGAGTATGTAATCGATCTCGGGTAACTCCTCACTTCTGCGATCCATATTAGGCAGCTTGCGGCAGGATCATTGAAAAAAAAAACTAAAGAATAGCAGGATCAAGGCCATCTTCCGATATGTAGGAGATTTTTTTTTTCATTTTGTTTAGCCCTCAAGTGAATGAGCAAGATGGTGAATGGGAAGACAAAGGTGATGCGGTGCTTCCAAGCAGTGTTGTACACGTTCCTCAAAAAAAGGAACGGAAGCTCGATCCTCGTTCCCTCTGATTTTTGGAACGCGTTCCCGTTACAAGTTACATCTGTGGAAAAGGAACTCGTTCCCGTAACAGCGTAAAAAATGGAACGTATCGTTACTTATACGTTACATTTGCATTTTTCTATTTACCATATTTAGTTAAATCAAGCAAAGATTGTTTTCCTTTTTATCTATCCCATCAATACGCAACATATGATACGAGTTTGAATGTCGCGATAAAAGGGTACCAGAAGAAGAAATCAACTTAAGCGTAAGCAGGGTTTTATTTGTTTATATATTCAAGTTAAAAATCTCAGCTTTTAACCATATTTATGTTTGTAGTAGACGATTGAGTAGAGCCAAATGTAACCACATTGCACGAGCGTTCTAGAACAACCTCACACGTTTCAATTTAACAAAGTTCCTTGTTAGAACTTAACAACAGTTGCTTCTCAATGTTACTGTCCGCAAGACGAGCAATTACAGGAGAGGGTAGGGATTTTTGAAGGTCAGTCTTGAAAACTACAAATACTTCTTTGTAAAGATTATTTGTTGTTCAGTTTGAAGGTGGGGGACAAGAGAAGAAATAAAGGTTTTTTTTTGCGTATTTTTTAAGTGAACAATGTTCGGGATACAGGGTGCGTTACATGTCTGGCAACCTGGGATCTTGTTGTAACTGTATGTCTCAATAGGGAAGTTCAGAAATGGCTGTAGTTGGCCTTAGATTTCTGGGTGTTGGTGTATGAGGATTCGTGAAGCCAAAAAAGGTAGCCGAGTTTGAAATGACCCCCTTTGCCTTTTCCTACGACAAAAAGTTTTGCTTTTTGTGCCGCAGTTTCGGGCACTCAAAAAAGAATCAATGTCCACCAGTTCTCCTGCACCCACAACTATTAGCAAGCGAGGACCACAAAAAATTATCCATAAGATTAGCAGCCAAAAAGTTAACGAGATCCTGCACTTCGTAAAGATTTTCTTTTTGTACTGTCAAACTTTTCCTGTTATAAACAAAATAAAAATTACCCCCCTGGACGAAAAAAAAAGGAACGCCGTTACTCTCTCCGTTCCCGTAAAAGTGTAACGCGTTCCCGTTCCAGTTCCAGCGGTGCAAAATGGAACGGCGGCGTTCCTTCGTTCCTCCTAAAAGGAACGCGTTCCAGGAACGCCGTTCCTTGGAACGCCGTTCCGTACAACACTGCTTCCAAGAATGTTGCTCCGAATCGAATTTCACATATGAATTAGCCGTCGCAAAATCAACCATATTCCCTGACCTAGAGCTATTCTCCAGCACAAGGGAAGCCCCGTGTGCTGGAGATATGAGCCATGCTCGTGTCAGGTGTTGTTTCCATACAACTCGAGACATTTGAAAATCATAAAAAGGAGTGTTGCCACAACTGCTCTTATTTCCACCCTAAAGTCGTCATGTCACAATCAACTTAAACAAAATTTTGAAAAACAGATTAGGCGTTTACGTGGGTCTGATAATCCATATTCTCTCCTGGTTACCGTTTGTCAAACTACTTGCCAGAAATTGAAACGCCAACATGCAGGGAATGAGGCTTCATCGAAAGCTACAAATCGAGGGAACGTTGCGGTTATTCCTTCCATTCATAGACTCACACAGAACACAAAAAAGATTGCCGGGAGGCATGATATTCAGATTGTCTATATTGCACCATACAGGGCGCACTCTATGTGCCGCCAGACGAACCAAGAAAAAAATCAAGAAAAAGAACGATGCAAAATTGCTCAAAGTACGCAGTATAAACCGTACCAAATGGGCGTTTTGTACCACATACCACTTTCCTGTGGCAAGTGATACATAGGGCAAACTTGGCGGTGTGTCAACAATCGAGCTAGGGAGCACGCTGCTTCCGTTAAAGGAACATCTGCCGGGCATCTCTCTGCACACAGTCTGTCCTGCGAGTGCACTCTTAACATTAACAAAATTACCATTATAGGGCGGCATCGGAACACATACGCACGCAAAGTAATTGGAGCCCTGGCCACTGCAGAAAGTTGTCAAGCGTGGGTTAGTACCCCGTCAATCATGATCCACGCGAAAAAGAGACAATACTTGCGGTGTGGCACGAGCCGCTTAACATTCTAATGAGTGCAGCGCGCAGACATGGGGATGGTTTTTATCACTAGCTATAGTTAGAAAAAAGAGAAAAAGGAAGACGAAGTACTATAGCAAACAAAAGGTAAGGGCGCAAACGAGCTGGTGGTGGTTAAACATTTGGACACAACCCCGAGACTGGGACAAAAAAGGGCGGACAAACACAAAGTCTCAATTGAGACTTTGTGTTTGTCCGTCCTTTTTTGTCCCAGTCTCGGGGTTTTTGTCGAAATACTATAGCAAGCAAGTGTACAGTCAGCGCAATGTATGTCTGTTCCTGTCTCGGTTTTTCTACGTTCTAACCGTTCAGCTGACCCAATTCAACACAAGTTGCCCTATAATCACTAAGAGGGTAAACAAAACGCAGTGGGTGGTCTAATAACCCCACAATTCTTAGTTTGTAAGTGGTTCTTTCTCATTCTTTCACTGAGGCTGCAATTTGTTTGGCTATTGAGCGATGATAAAATGTTCGAGACTATGTACTTTTTTGTGTTCTGACCTTGTTAGTTGTTTCCTTTCGGATTTAAAGACCGTAACACTACAGTAGCGTCGTTCTTTCTTAATATTTGCGACTTAGCTTATCATTTGCCCACTATCAAGGGAGCGGCATGCGTTCGAAAAGCTATAATAAATTTGATATTTTTCCGAAACAAAATATTGCAAGCGGGGCTCCACGGGCTCGAGGACTGGCGTTTCAAAGATACTCGCGAATATATTGATCGTGTCAATGACCACCTGAACAAATACTTGGAATATTAGAATTACAAATGCTTCCATGCAGAACTGTAATAGCTCAATATGAATTTTTTTTATATATAAGTCATATGAAGTATGAAATTATTATGAAATTTTGGTTTAGCGGAACCTTGATGTCACTTTTAAGGGCGTTGTGTGCGGATCAGTATGAGCACATAAAATACAGAAGTAGCGTTCGCTCTACAGAAATCTTAAGTTATATTAATCGCCTTTACAATCTAAACTACCTCGTTGCAGCTGGCAAGAGACGGCGCGTTTGATAAGCGTACCATCGTAGTAAAACGTTTCGAGCATAATATTCTGCATTACTTAGATGAGATTACGGTATTTGTAAGGATATAAATGAATATAAAAATCTTTGCCCACACATATTTTTATGATATTTAAGTAAAGATTTTAAAGAATATTGAATTAAAAACTAAGCGTGTTTTTTTTGTTTGTTTTTTTTGCTTTTTCAATTATGATTACACATATAAAAGAAGACCCGTGGAGGCTAACGATAAGCGACATTAAAGGGATTACCATTACAGAGATGGCAAAGCTTACCATACTTTCGCACTCAACTAGGAGAAGACGACTTCTGGACACTCACCTGAAAAAGACAAAGAGAAACGGACAGGTCACGACAAAACAGAAAGACCAAAGGGACAATTACAGGTTCACCACTGGTTTAATTGCATACTTTTATAGACGCGCCGAGAGTTTATGCATGCATGGACAAAACGTTGCGTAAGATTCATGATTAATCATTTGCGATAATCACGGACTTATTCTGAACAGATTCGAATGCATTCTCTGCAGCAAGAATGTATATAAACTATTTATCGCGTTTAGTTTTTTTTTTTTTTTCGGATTAAACCTCTTACGTAATACAATCGAGCGAACTTCTTTGAGGGGAACAAATTTGAAAATTGAATATTCCCAAGCGAGGAAAATAGAACGCGTAATCTGTAGCCCTGCAGAACTACGGAAGGTTTTTTTTTTATATATAAATTCAGTGAAACTAATAAACAATGCACCAGTAGCTTCAATATACTATTCGGCCTTTGCTTGGGCACTGAAAGATTCCAATCTCTGTTTTGATGTTGGAGAGGAAAATGCATTTCATTTGTCTCATCAATCACTGTGCTTCTGGCACAATTTTCTGTAAATCATTCTTAGTACATTTTCCAGAATATAAAAAAGTGTGTTGTCGAGGCTTAAACTTCAGCATAAAAATCTTGCTCGGTCAAACTTATACGTATCACGATATGCTGGACATACTTTTCTTCAATTAAAATACGCGACATACGCCGTTTCCTATTAATGGTTCTCGATATTACGATGTCCAGTTTGGTCGTCTCTGTACTGTTCACTGTCCCAGTGATTTGCACTGCCAGCGAGCGAGGATGCACGAGGCGATTTGGAACATAATTATGAATCACGGCTCAATGCTCGTTTTCAGAAAAGGAAACTTTCCAGACTTCAATGCAGTTTCTAACTAATGTATAGTAACCGGGCGGCGGAGAAAAGCTCACCGGAGAAAAGCTCACCGGAGAAAAGCTCACCGAAAAACAAGCACATGCGGAGAAAAGCTCACCGGACCCTGAGCCGAGGTGGAGAAAAGCTCACCGAATGTTTTATTCTTTTCATAGAGAAGCTTTTAGATGGTGTTTCTCATTTCGTTTTCACTAATATTAGAGTTCGTCAGTTTAATAGAGAAAAATAACATTTTTATGTAATATTTATTAAATTTATCATGCATATTTCTTGGAAGTGAGGAATCCAGCACTTTGTCTAATAATACCGCCGGAGGTAAAAAAAATAAGAAACGGTACACCTGTAAAGAGGACAACAATTTATTGATGGCATCACTTTTACCTAAGTCAAAATTTTGGCTCAAAAACGAATGCACTGCCCAACTGCTTCGAGGAGCACGGGGAGCTGCTTGTGCTGCAAATAATCCGTGCAGAGGTGGTGCAGTCGGCCTAGCAGTCGGCTTGTCTCCCTTCTCGTCTTCTTAGCGGGCGGCTCTCCACGGCTGACTTGCAGCAAGGTTGTACTGGCGACCGCTTGGTCTTGCTGCAGGCACTCGATGAGCCTCCAAACACTCGGATGAGAATGCCCAACGAGGTGTTTAAAGGCGTTATTCCAGCCCTCGCAGGCGTTGTTTGTGCGGTCCTCCCCTCGCAGCGTTGCTTCCATGACGTTCCAGATTTCCGGAGGAAACTCGGGGCGTCGGCGGCACACGGTGGTTGTCAGTCGTCCATCTGCTTCCGTTCTTGAAGCAGTGCGAAACGTTCCGCTCACGTACGTGGAGTCAAAGCACGCGAGTATTTCGGCCATGTCGTCGGGTGCCATGTCACGAATGTGCTGAAGTCCAGATGGCACAAGGTCGGGAGGCACGAAGGCTAGGCCGTCCAGCATTCCGCAAGCCTTCCTGAAGGCGTCGTCGGTCCGGTACCTGTTGATCAGACCCAGCTCACGTAGCTGTGTTGAACAGAAATGTAAAATTAGCAAACACATATGCATACACATAAATGCGAGCAGCGAGGGGTAAGATAACATTTGAAACGCTACAATACACTTTTATTGGTAATTTCATGATGCGCATTAGCACCCTAATAACTCTCCTTGCCTATCGTATTTCACATTATCCCAATTAGCCTTCAATACCATATTAAATTTATTTTGTTATAAAGGATTCAATAGAAATCATTGTTTACTGGAAGCTGTATAACCGCACGTTACCTTGCGATGGGTACTCTGGCACAGATGAAAGAAACACCCCCTGGATGCGAAGTCAGGTCCGAAGACTTCCCTTGCTGCCCGGATTGCAGCCATCTCGTAATCACTCACGATGACGCTGGGGTCTGGAAGGTAACCTCTTGATTCGCATGCGTCAAGGACGGCCCGAAAAAGCTCTTCATAAATCGCGAGGCTCTTGCCAGCAAGGAGAGCGTAGACGCAGGCGACCGAGCTTTCTCCGACTGCGCACCTGAGCACGTAGAGTTGTTTGAACAGCGCGGGGCAGACTGAAAACGTCCCGTCCATATACCAGGTTGAGCTCGTGCTCAAGGCTCTGAGCTGCTCGCTGCTGGCAAAGACGAGCATCCGGTCCCGCCGCTCCGATCCGTTGTCATAAATGAGGAACGGCTGTGGCACTTCTCCTCCGGTCGTTGCCCAGATGTCCTCCACCTCGAGCTTAGCCGTGGATTCTGGTTCCGCTGGGCGCAGCCGGCTTCTTTGCTGGCGCAAGTCGCGACGCACAGTCTCCAGGCTTCCAATATTTGCCCGCACAGCAGCTGACGAACTACATAACGCCTGGGCCAAAAGCTTGCTTGGTGGTTCCGACGTTTCTTGCGCCTTTCTTTTCAGGTCCATTCTTATCTTCGTCACCTTAACGCCGTCTAAGTCGCTGGCATGGTTATGCTCCGTTACTGACCAGAAGCGAGTGATCTGTAATGCCGAAAAAGGAAGACCGCCTTATGAGACGCTGCTTACTTATGGTGAATTCCACTCGTAGATCTGGAGCGCTTTCCAAAATCCGCGAGGGAGGCAAAATTCCGCTCCGTGGGACCCGCTCCGAATCGACGAGGGGAAGATAAACTTGCATTTTTGGAGCGACCTCCCCCACACCCCCTCCCCACCCCTTCTCCCTCCGCCGTACAAAATGGCCGCTGCTTGAACTTGACCTGCCCACCAACGCAGCCGGCTGATCTTTCCAACGACCAGTGACGACTGTCACTGCTTAGCTGCAGAAGTAACACGCGACACAGGCCGGGCGAAATTATACATACCGCGGCGCCCATGTCACAAATAACGAAGACGTCCGCCTTCGGCACCGTCACATACCTTTCGGCCGCCTCGAAGCGGCGGGGCACGGACAGCGATTTCCAGCGTGGAGTTCAGATTTGTAGTACGACTTTAATAAACACAGAGGTAACAAACCATCACTTGCGCGGTCGTTTCCTAACCACTTCTTGCTTTATTTCACGGGAAAAAGCCGACGGAATGCAGTGTAAAAAGGTAAACAATCACTGGCTGCGGAATGAATAGGCCTAACCTTGCGTCTGCCTCCGGCTTTTCTGTCGTTCTTCCTCTCACGATCACAGACGTCAGCGCTTACGAGTTGCCACGCTCCACATTCCCGGCTTTTTATCCCTGATCTACGCGAGGTAGAAGCGTTCGAGCCGTCACAATCCAGAGTAAACACCGACGCACCCGAACAGATCCAACTCCACGACCGACCCAATCCAGGGTAAACACCGACGCACCCGAACAGATCCAACTCCACGACCGACCGGCCCGCCGATCTCTCCAACCTCGCCGCGCATGCGCACCGCCGATTCAGACGGAAGTCACGTGGGCCGCTCTGTCAGTTTCCGGAGAGATCCGTGAAATCCCGCAGAGCAAGTTCGGCGGAGTTTGGGGCGCTCCGTGGAGCGGGCGCTGCCAGAGATCTACGAGCGGAAGATGACCAACTTGAGCCAGATCTGCGAGCGGAATATGCGCGCTCCAAATGGAGCGCTTTTGGAGCGCTCGAGATCTCCGAGTGGAATTCACCATTAGAGGGAAGCTACGGAGCTTCTTGGAAAAAATGAGTTAGAAGTGAATTCTAGTGTATTTTTACCCCGTGAACCCGAATACCCAAACCATTTGCTCCGTAAGTATTGTTAAACGCGAGAAAAACGCTAAAGACAGTCGCTGTCCGTGACGTCATCGACGGCTCTTTTGGCTGCCCAAGGCTAGGGAGGCGCGGCTTCAGACCTATTTTGAAATAGCTCGTATGGCTCTCCGGCGCGTCGCATTGAAATACAATTTTGATATCTGTTAATCTAAAGGCCAAATGAACGCAATTCAAGCGTTTTTTCTCAAATGTAGAAGTGCCCCATCTTCCATTTTGAAAACACCAAGCCAGTTTAAAATTTCATAATTCAACAAGTTCTTACTTTTTCATCGAAATATATCAGCTTTGAAATTATATTCATTTCCAAAAATTAAAAAAAAGATAAAGTCGGATAATAGTAAAAATCGGTTCACGTTGGAAATTGAAAATACGCCTAATTGCACGTGAAGGAAAAATTGTAAAATAGCCAGGAAGTATTATGGACGAACGGATAGACAGAAGTGGTATTTTGGGGAAGGAGCACTCCTGATCAGTTCTTTACACTGATCTTCTTGATAATTTTTCTATCCTAAATTTTACCTCTCTCCATCTCTTTGTTGAAACGTACGTGCGGTGCGTCTTCGTTGTTCAGGAGATATATTTTTGCTAATAGGCAGCTTTCATTATTTTTAAAAGTCAAGAATCAATGAATAAATAAAACATTAGAGTCTAAGCACATCCACAAATCATTTTTACCCCCAATAAATGCAAAACCCCTATATTCTGCTCAACAATGGGAAGAAAACTAAAGATCCCATAATAGCATGCAACACAAACATAGAAATATGCCCCAGCCCGTAGCTATTTTCTGCTGTCAAAACAAGGATTGTTATACTCACAGCATGGTCCGTAGTTATTGCTCCCTTGCACCCGCCTGTCCGCTGCTTACGGCACTGCCACCGGATCCAATCCTTTTTTGACTGCTTTTGCACGTAGTCGAAACCGTCAAGCAAAACTTTCGCCTTACCCTTGTTCGAACGAATTACCTCCATGATGACAGTCAGAATACTGATGCGGCTAAAATGTTTGCTTTATATAGCAAACGTCTTCAGGAACTAGCGTTCGACTGTACCACCATCAACCAATAAGATAAAGGCAAAACTTTCTAATGTGCGATTCAAAAAGGAACCGCTAAGTGACAAAAAATATCTTTTTTATCTTACCGGCTTGGCTTAATAAAAAAAAAAAAATTTCTTAACCCAACCCCGAGAAACAACACAACAAAAGGTGTAAACCATGCTTTGAAGTTACCATGGAAGGGGCTTAAGACACAAAGGAATATCTAAAATCAGTCACGAGAAAGAACGCAACAGAAGGCGTGAACTCTGCTTCTGAACTAGCGTGGAAGGCGGAAGCAGGCCCTCTAGTGAAACGTCGGCACAGATCTGACGCTTCGACCCCCGTGTGCAACTATGTAGGTCATAGAAGGTCCCTGCAGTGGCACTATCGCACAAAAGCAACGCGCGGAGAAACAAGCACGAACGGCTAGAAAGCGGGCATGTGCGTGGAAGAAAGAAGTCTTGACATTCTAATCACCGCTCTGTTCTGTTTTCGATGCTTACAATAGCTTCCAGGAGAGTTTTAGGCGTCGTACTGTTGACAGTCCCGCTTTTGTCCTGTCCTAGGCGGACGTTACAATAAGTTTTTGTTAATGCGACCTCGAATAATTCGATCGCGTTGAAAAGTCCCGGGACACATTTGCGCATGTATTCCCAAATGGTTTAATTCGATCTTCGAGATCATTCGACATAATTTCAAGGTCCTGTAGAGGTTGAATTAACAAAAAACGTACTGCATAGCTTTGTAGGCTTTTTCTACACTCCAAGTTCATATAATTGTCAGATAGGCTTTTATTTGCCTACTAAATAATCTACAGAAAACATTTGCCCGTAAGATATAGTTGCGAGCAATGTGCCTAATCGGTTCCACAAATACTGCAAAAACAAGATAAAGTTTCAAGTTATTAACCTGACTTATTATAATGGTATAATAAATTGCTCTATGTGATGGAGGTTCCAAGAGCTTCGCTAAGAAAATAATACATAAAAAAAAGTGGTGAGCTTTCCTCCGCCTATGCCCCAGGACCAGTGAGCTTTTCTCCGCATCTGCCACTTTTGCGGTGAGCTTTTCTCCGGTGAGTTTTTCTCCGGTGAGCTTTTCTCCGGTGAGCTTTTCTCCGGTGAGCTTTTCTCCGGGATTCATAGTAACCAGTCTGAATATTACTCAACTAGCTTTCTTGAATAGTGACTAATTGTCAAAGGTTTTGTTGGGTTATATTATATACTACTATGGCGGTACAAAAGTTAAGCTGAAAAAAAATCGGACTTTGTTTTACGATAAAAAAGAAAAAAATGCAAATTCAGAACCTGTGAATTCAAGATCTGTTTGAATTAGCGAATTTTCTTTCCACCTAGGAACGACTACCTCAAGAGACGACAGTTATTTTTAGAACTCTAGTTCTCCATGCAGCCCTTCTCAAATGGCATAGTACAATCGCCGATAAAGAAAGGAAGAAAAACCAAATCGAGATCGTTCCTGTTTCTAAACATACTTACATATATTTCCGATGCCGTGGCAAATAGAATAGCTCAAGTACCGGAACAAAACCGTAGTTTTGATTCCTTTTACCGTTGATCTGTTTCAGTTTGAGAAAAGCGTCGGCGTGGAATGAGGCTTCTCGGCGCGAAGCAACTTTAACAGAGACTTCAGTGACGTGCTCGCGCTACTTCGAAAAGACAGCATATTTACTATATTTCAAGAAAGCGCGCCTGTTCCTTCGTCACCCGAGAGGGGCTGGCACGCATAAATAAGCGGGTGCGGAATGAAGCATGGAGGAAGGGGGGCGGCGAAAAACGCA